GTTTCAATGGCCGAGCTTAGTTATTACGGACCCAACTAATGCCACCTTTGAATCTGATAATTAGAGCATTCTTTTTAAATCAAGTTAACCCAGCGAAGAAGTTTACTCCAGTTTTACAGACAGTTTTTCAGCTACATTATAAGGTTCCTGTTCACCAAGCGGACCGTAGAATAAACCGCAAATTTATTTATTAATTAATTTATTATAAATAAAATTTATTTTATAGCAAATTAACAAATTTTATTTGTAGTTTTTAAATAAAAATTCAAAAAGATAAAAATAAAAAGAAAATGCCTTCTTTTATAGTTGTATGAGGAAAGAGTTATAAATATCGAAATTCAAATTTTATATCTGTTAAATATTTTTTTTATAGTTATATGAATTAATTAAATTAAATTTCATATTCAATTGACATTTTTTAAGTGGACACATAATATATTCTTAATTATTTTTCTACAAGGTGAAAGAATGATTCAGAATGGATCAAGGCCAAATGTATCATTTGTTTTATATATGATCTTTGTATAAGCGCAAGGCCACCTATAAGCAAGGTTGCAAGATTGAGGAAAGCAATGGAAGATAAAGGGATCATATCATGTTCATGTGAACTGATGATTTGGCTCCAACTTCCAAAATGACTTTAAAAACCAAGCTTTTTAATTAGTTTAATATGGGATTGAATCTCATTTTCCATGAAAGGTTGACAAGAAAGTTAAAGGTGTGAAAAAGGGAATGGAATCACCGATAATGTTATATTATTGTAGGGGGAAATGGCCCATAGTTTCTTTTTTATTTGACTTTTTTATAAAGAAAGAAAAAACAAAAGCATTTTGCTTTCAATTGGTGAGAAATGGGGAATCTGTAATCTTGTTTACGTGGCAACTAAAGAGCAATGCGACCCACTTTTGCAACTTTTCAAAGGCTAAAAAGATAAATATATGAACCTTAGAGCTGAACTTATCAACTTAGTAACGGAAAATGCAAAATGGTCTTGCTTTAAATGGCCGAGATAGCTCGGCTTTCTGTCGATTAAACTTAGTTTGGCATTGTGATTCCCATACTCAGTTTTGTGATCTATAACAAATTCATCACAATCATATTATTTGAGTAAATTACTTTTTTTTTTAAATTTTTTAATTTGATCATCAAACTTTCAAATACAATGTTTTAATCAACAATGTTTAATAAATAATATTATTTGATCATTCAAACGTTAAAAAAGTATGGGGATAGAAATGAACTTTTCTATCACCAAACTTCTTATAAAAAACTTACCAAATAGAGACAACTAGTTATTTTATTTTTTAAAAACAATAATAAATAAATAACAAAAACAAAACTGTTGGCAGTTTGCTTCCTTGTGTATAAGCTGTCTTTGCGCAATTAATGCTTAATTTTTCAAACACCAAAACTACCGCCCATTTTTATATATATGATAGATGTTAATCGGCCGTCATGAAATAAGATAAAAATGGTTTATTGTCTTCCCTTCTTAAAATAAATATGGCATCTGGTCATGATAAGAAATAAAGAGGATGAGAATGTTTATCTAAGTTAAGAACGAAAAAGTTTCATTTATGTGGAATTATATGATGAGTTCATATAGAAATAAGAAAGGAAAAGACAGAGATCGGTAGAGAAAAGAAAATTCTTCGAGAAATCTTTTGCATCAGTATTAAGGACTTACAATGTGATAATAAACAATTTTTGAATGCGTGATCTTGTCCCCACTCATAAAATTAAGTTGACATCGCTTCCACAATAGTTTCGCAAAAATGCTTGCGTCGTACTTTTGCAAATCAAGTAGGTCTTCTGTATTATTTGATATATGATTATGTTCATCATATTATTATTCATTCTTCATTGGTATCAAAACTAAATTAGCTTGATTCCTAGTTGTTTTGATATTTGTTTTGAAACACCGAAATTGTTGACATGTTCTTGAGTTCTTATCAGATTACATTTGAAAATCTATGGAAGTATTACATATAAGTGTATAATGTTATAGTAGAAAGTTAAGGTGAATGTTTTGGATCATTCAAAATGCAAGTTGCCATTGTTGTTTGAAATATTTGGATCGAGTTTCCAGTTTCACCAAATTCGAGCATTTGTATGCTTAATAGGGCATCTGAATGCCCTAAGCAAATTTTTAAAAATGAAGTGTTATTTTTTGAAACAAAAAAATTTTTGAAATAGAAAATGAACATTCCAATGCTGCTCAAGGCATTCTAATACCTTATATTTTTTAAAAATAAAAAGCAAGCATCTAAGTGCCATTTCCAAAGTATTCGAATGCCCTTTTTTTTTTTTTCAAAAATATGCTTCAATTTTTTAAAAAAGAATTTTTTTAAAATTGTTTTGTCCTTGATTAATTTTGGAAGGTCAGATCACACAAGAATAATTAAAAAAAGTCTTAATTATTTTTTACTTGTGTTGACTTATGAATTCATGAATTTTTCTCAAATTTTATTTCGAAATATCATTATTGTTTTTGTGATAACTCTTATTATTATAAAAACTTAAGCACAATTACTTAAAGACATAAGGATGCTAATTGAATTAGTGTATTACTGAATGGATCCAAATGATGATGATATTGTGTTTCACATCATCAAGGGTTAGCCATCTGATTAAAGAGTTAATCTTGTGAGGCAACATGCATGTAAGGAAGATCTAAACATATACATGATATTAAATAGATACACTCTTTACACTTAGACAAATGAATCTTTTCAAAAATCTTTGGATGTCTAACAAAAAGAAAACGTCATAATGTTACAACTTTGATAAAAAAATTTATGATTTTGCAAAAAACGAGACAAAAAAGAATGTGACCTTTTTTATAAGCCTAAGTTTCAATAGTGACAATTTTTTTTGAATACATGGGTGGGGGGATGGGTTGGCTTGAAACTAAGCCTTACATGTCCCTTTAAAGGCTCTTTAGCCACTAGGTCAGATCACCAGTGACACAAAATATTTGGACATCTATGGATGGTTAATAAGAATGTGAAAATCGTTATAGGAATTTATAGATTCCATCTTGTCATTAGACAAGTGATGTATACTGATTGAAAACATAATTTAATAGAAAATGTGTATGTTTAATGATGTAACTTATTAATGAGTTTAGAATGTAAATGTTGTATGAAACTTGTCTCTATGAATTTCAATCAATGTATGTTAATGATTGAAAGTAACCTTATGGTTGGTAAGAATTCTAAGGTATTAATTAATAAGTTATCTTAGAATGATAAACTTTGCACAATAAAATAGAATAAATGATAATCAAACATATTAAAAAATGAAATTTAATTGTGAACATAATGATTTTTTGGATTCATTATTATGTGAATGATTATCATTATTTTATTTATGACTTTGTGACAAAATAGATATGTGTAATAATAAGCATTAATCCTCTTCATTTTTTCTTTCCTTGACCCTCTTCTCTTCTCTTTCTGTTTCCCCTCTTTCCTTTCCCTTTCTCCCCATGTGTTTTATTTTATGGTCTCTGGAAGCTTCTCTTTGCTCCAATTGACAGTCGATAAAACTTAAGAGACAACTAATAAAATTATGACAAATGACATAAAATTGAAAAGTTTAGTAAACAATGCAATAAAATCGTGTGAATTGGGAGTTTACTTTAAATATATAGTTATAGATGTAACGAAAAATACATGTAATATTTTAGGCACGGAGTTTTTCTTTTCAATGATTAAGGAAGTTTAAATATAACATACTTATACATATTTAATCAATCATATAACATATTAACATATATTACTAGATATATCAAATGTGTTCTTTAAAAAAAATTTAACCCATTTAATTTCATTTTTTGATTATTAAAATTTAAAATACATGATATAACTTATTATTCATATTTAAACCCATTAGTTGCGTCTAAAATAAGTTAATTATATTGAAAAGTATTAATTATGTTTTGTCATATAATAATATAATAAACATGTGATGTTAGTAACTTATAAACTTTGACAGTATTAATCAATGGGTTAATATATAAATTGGTTTCTGAACTATCACGTGTCTTGATATGATTAGTTTTTTTACTACATCAACTTACAATAAGCTGATGAAACAAAATGCTTGACAAAAGATAAAGATCAAATATCTAATTATAAATTTTTTTTATATAAATATTAAATCGTAAAAAATATATAATTGGGAGACATCACACATTAACACTTAATTAGTTGTGTTGTGTTCATGTGGATTTATTATATATTATTTGCTTATGTGTATGTTATTAGCTTACCTTTACACGATACAACACATAATTTATGATTATAATTAAACAATCTCTCAGTAAAATTCGCTAGCATAAGGAAATTTAAGATAGTTATAGACTATATAGAACTAATGGTTTCAACTTTCAAATTTATCTTATCCAAACGAAATTTCGTTTCTTGGATTTTTTTTGGAGCAACAAATTTCCTGTTCTCATTGTTGAGAACTTTCAATGCTTTCTTCACTCTCTCTTCTTTTTTTTTTTTTGTTTTGTTTTAGATAACAGTAGAGAAAACGATTCCTAGCACTTAAAAAACAAAGAGAGAGTTATGTTCCGATTGAATTTATCAATCCTACAAAAACACCATCACATGAAATATTCCAAAAATTAGGCTGTTGCAATGTGAGAAGTCTCAAGGAAAAGAGGGCATAGAGACAGGTGTCCAGATTCCCAGTTAGAATTTCACATCAACGACCCCATACTCTATCTCTTTGTTTGACATTTTTATCTTTTTCGTTTAGACAGCTGACCGGCCCTGCACTATGCAAATCGAATAATCTTTCACCTGAGCTTTCTTGCTAAACAAAAAATCAAACACCCATATCTTCAATTTGATTTCGTGTTCAAACTTCAAACTGCTCAGTTCATGATATTTTAATAAAGTGAAAAAGTGATTTTTTTTTTTTTTTGATCTTCTGATTATTTTGTCTTACATGCCCAGAAACTACCATGAATATTACGTTAACGACTGTTGAGGGTATTTGAGTCATTACATCACTAACATTAAAAAACCAACTAGACCTAGTAATAAGTAAGTGACAGAATCTTGAACTTTACTCTCTTGTTGTGGGTAGTTCTCACTTCCTATTCTCACACCTCTCTGTCTCTTTTAGGATCAAACAGACCCCAATGAGCAAATGAAAGATTATTGCAGAAGGAGACGACAAGGGAGAAACATGACAGCCCCAAGAGGAAGAATCATTGGATCATCATTCTTTGTTTCTGTAATGATGATGGTGATGATGTTTTCAGGGTTGGTTTTAGTGGCAGAATCAGCAATAGGGGTGAACTGGGGGACAATGTCATTCCACAAGCTGAGGCCATCAACGGTGGTGGATCTGTTGAAGGAAAATAATATACAAAAAGTGAAACTTTTTGAAGCCGACCCATTGGTGTTAAAAGCTTTGATGGGGAGTGGGATTCAGGTCATGGTTGGGATACCAAATGAGATGCTGGCTACACTCAGCTCTTCCCCTGCGGCTGCTGATTTGTGGATTCGCCAGAATATCTCTACTTATATTGGCAAAGGTGGTGCTGATATCAGGTAATTCTTTGTAAAAAGAAATTAAAGAAAGTAACTTTTTTCTTTATTTGGTGTTTTGTTTTGTTTTTGTTTCTGGTGAGGATTTTATATGACAATAAGCAGATATTTTATTAATATGTCATCATTTAGAATATAGCTAATAACTTGAGAAGATCTTTTATGGTATGCTTGGTTTTAGTTCTGGAAACCATTTGTGCAAATTCAGCTGATAAATGCTTCTAAAAGTTTCTGATATAGGATAAATTATTTTTTGAATAAATTCGTATGTTGAATTGGTCAGGCGAAGGAATCTTCATTTGTTGATCCTCGAAGAATTTAAATAGATTAGCATTTCTTTAATAATTGCGTCATCAATTTGTGTTTAACCAATCTAATGTTAGCGGCGTCCCCAGTATGAGTTTCTTATAGGCTTATGCAGCGGCATACTGCCTTACAACCTCAATTACTTTATCCTGAAAGCTGCGGATTGGTATGCCAGAGTTCATGTGCTATTCCCTATATCAAGCTGCTTGCACAGTTTCTCATACTATAACCTACACAACATCATTCATGTGATGGTATATAAAATTTTTTCCATCCTTGACAGTTTATTTCATTAATTCCATTTTGATATTTGGATTAAAGTATCTTCTTTGACACTGTGGTCGCTGTCCAAGTGGTTGTAGATTTAGACTCAAAACAAATGTTGAGGGAAAACTGGTGCGCATAAGGTCAAGTTTTCCTTTGCTTAGATAGTGGAGACAATAGAAGTTAAAATTTCTTATCAGCATAGACATTTTTTGGGGAAAGATAAATGGGGAAAAGGAGGTAGGGGAGTTTTGGTTTTCTTTTTTTTTTTCCTTTTTTCTGCTGGGTTCAATGGCTGGTCTTTGGATATTTTAATTGTGTGAATGATCTTTTTGACAATTGAATGCACCCATGTTACCCCAGATGTAGTAATCCCTGAATGAATTCTTTGGCACCAAGGACCATAAAATGAAAAATTAGTACTTTTTCTATGGAAAACACTCAATTAGTATCTCAACCTCAGGAGAGATAATGAGACAAAATAACCTCAAGTTGGATTTCTATGGCTTCCTCTATAGGCCCCTATTTAATGCCAAGCTCTGAATCTTGCATTTCAAGATTCTACATTGGCCTGCAGTAGTAAGATTTTTCAATGGACTTTCCCCTTCTGTAGAAACACCTGAACTGGATTTCTGATGCATCTATTGCTTTGAAAGTAACTTAATGTTTGTCAAAGCATTACTTATGTGCTAGTTTAAGTAAGCTGTTGCAAATCTTCTAAAGTTATTTCATTCTGGCTGTGATGACAGGTATATTGCTGTAGGAAATGAACCCTTCCTTACAAGTTACTCAGGTCAATTTCAGTCCTATGTAGTCCCTGCTTTGGTCAATTTGCAGCAATCTTTGGCCAGAGCAAATCTTGCAGGATACATAAAGTTAGTGGTCCCTTGTAATGCCGATGCCTATGAAGCTAATGTTCCTTCCCAAGGGGCATTTCGACCAGAACTGACTCAAATTATAACTCAACTTGTTTCTTTCCTAAACTCAAATGGTTCCCCATTTGTTGTCAACATTTATCCATTTCTAAGCCTCTATGAGAGCTCAGATTTTCCTCAAGACTATGCATTCTTTGAGGGTACTACACATCCTGTTATAGACGGTGGCAACACTTACTCCAATGCGTTTGATGGAAATTTTGACACATTAGTTGCAGCCCTTGGTAAAATCGGATATGGACAGATGCCCATAATTATTGGGGAGGTAGGTTGGCCTACAGATGGGGCGGTTGGTGCTAATCTCACTGCTGCTAGGGTTTTCAACCAAGGCCTCATTAATCATGTCATAAGTAACGAAGGAACCCCTCTTAGGCCTGGTGTTCCACCCATGGATGTCTATCTTTTTAGTCTGCTTGATGAAGGGGCTAAGAGCACACTTCCAGGAAGCTTTGAACGTCACTGGGGGATGTTCTCCTTTGATGGCCAGGCTAAATATGCTCTAAACCTTGGTTTGGGAAACAAAAAGTTAAAGAATGCCAGGAATGTTCAGTATCTCCCTAGTAGATGGTGTGTTGCAAACCCATCTAGGGATCTCTTGGATGTGGCAAATCACATGAAACTCGCTTGTACTGTTGCTGATTGCACAACACTCAACTACGGGGGATCATGTAATGGCATTGGAGCAAAGGGAAATGTCTCATATGCATTCAACAGTTACTATCAGCTGCAAATGCAGAATGAACAAAGTTGTAACTTTGATGGACTTGGTGTGATCACTTTTCTAGACCCTTCGGTTGGTGATTGTAGGTTTCTTGTTGGTGTCACTGATACCAGTTCAAGTTTTAGACCATATCAAAGGTGGGTAATCAGCTGGCTTTTAATTTTATGGCAATTTTGGGCCTTCAGAATGTGAAGAAAAGGCAGTTTCTAGGTGGGTTTTTGGCAGTCCCCTCTTATGAAGCTGATAGTGTCAACATAGGTGCAAGAATACTAGAGTAATTTATATATGTGCAAGAATACTAGAGTAATTTATATTTCCAAATGATTGCAGATTAATGTAGTATACTATTGTATGATGTAAGAAAAAGTAAACTCTCATGCGTCAAATTTATCTAGTCATTGTCTTAATTTTTTATGTTGGACCACCTTTCTGGATTTTTAATATGCATGCCTTGCTTATCCATAGATCATTATTCCAATAAAACAGATCCTGTTTTTGATGTACTCTATGGTGTTGTTAAACAAAGTGATAAGGAAGAAGAAAGCTAAAGCAGTCATCATTAACGCCCCCACCACCCCTTTCTTCACCGTTCATTTTTTACTTTTCTGCAGGAATTTTATCTAAATTTGGCAATATATGTATTTGTCTTTGTCTATTTCGTGTCTAAACACGAGTAAAATATAAAAATTGTCATATTAGAATACATGTTAATACATCAAATATATAATATTATTTTTGTCAAATCTGATTTTTGCTGAAGTTTTAAATTATTACTTTCATTTTTTTTTTTTTTGTTGTTTTCTATTCTATTATGGTGTCATGTTTAAAATTGTCAAACCTAATTTTAGTCTTGTTTTGATGGTTCTAGCCGTTCTTGTTTTGATGTTTGAGCGTTTAAAACAAGTCCAAGGCAGAACATTCATCAAAATCACCCCATTTGTTGCTTACCGGCACTATTAATTAGTGTCACAAATGAAATTCACCGGTCGCTAATTAGCCCTTACATATCTGAAGTGTATGGCCATAATACATATGCACTGAATCATAAAGCATACATATATATCCGAGAACTGCAGCTGAAACTCATCCTAAACTAGAGTTTGAGAGCATGGGGAGGAGAAGGTAACGTCTCGTCGTGCAACTTACTCATTGGAAAGAAGAAAATATATAATCTTCATAGTTAAACTATGGAGGGGCATTCAAAACTCAATACATCTGTTTTGGAGTGAAGGTATGGATACCATTGAAGTAAAACCTCAATCGCCAGATTCATCCCTTCTTATTTTATGCAGTATAGTGGTCTTATTTATTTATTTATTTTTTCAAATGGATGTTTTGTGGCCGTTGAAGCTGTAAGCCAACTTTCGTCATCATGGACACATGCATATTGCGGAGCAATGATTCTTTATCTTGCTTGGTTAGATCATTTAATTCTGATAGTTCATATATTTATGTCAATGTAAAATAACAAAAACTTATGTATTTAAATTATATTGTACAAGAAAATTATGTTTCATAATTCATATGAACACAAAAACACAAAATATATATTTTTGTTTTATTAAAATTCATAAATAATATTTACTAAAATTTTAAATTGTATTAATTTTTTTTTTTTTTTTTTGCATTATTGTTGTACTGTGTCATGGTTTAATATTTTTAGATTCTCAGATTTCTTATCATTTTTGCAAATTGATTATTTCCCTTGCATAGCATCTTATTATCAAAACTTCATTATTTTTTTTTTTGGCAAAAGTTTAAGAATAAAAGCGTTTTTCTAATTTAAGGTAAGAGTAAATCGTAGATTTCAGAGAAAATTTATATTAGATTTATAAATCACTTATAAAAAGAGATTACTGACAGCAGAAATCAAGTCTAATCTTTAAAAATAAAGTATTCTGACATTTATCAATTCAACCAACTCCCTTACCAACTCAACCAACTCGTGCTAGCAACTCTATTATTGATTTTCAGAAAACAGATGCTCAATTAATGTAGGTGTATTGTATTCGTATGGAGGAAAGCAAAAGAATCGTGAAAAGAACCCATCTGCTTTCTTCAAGAATGACATTCCAAACAAGCATTAATTATTAGTAGTGCCATCACTTTCAATGAGTGTACATCCACTTCACCAGCAACAAATTGAACCTAATACAAAGGAGAAATTGGTGCCTTAGTTCTAAATTTATCAATCATGACCATAACAAACTTTCCAACAGCGAAGCATGAATGGTTTCCCAACGAAAAAGCAGCGGCGACAGCCTCCAAATATCACGAATAACATTACCTTAAAAACTCCAGAAGCACTAGCATTCACATTAAAAGTATAAGCAAGCAAATGACTATACCTTGTGGATGACATCTTGTTCAAATGTACCTAGACGAGCACCGGCGGTTGCATTTGAACACAAAGTAATGGATGAAACGACTAAAAGCCACATGAGACAAGTAAGAATGGTTTGCCTTCTGGCCATGAGATCTCTTCTTCCAGTTCAAGCTTGATGATCAAGTAATTAAGCATGGCAGACTCATCTCTTTCACCTATATATATTTATATTAACTAAAAGTTGCATAATTTTGGAAATAAAAGATAATCAGATAAAGACAACTTTCTTGAACGTTTATTAATAAAAAAAAGATTCATGCCTTTTCTTGACATAGATTTTGGCTTTGTACGGTTGTCATTTTTATAATTGCAAATTCTTTTAGATTTTTTATTTTATCTTAAAAATGGGTATGATGTGGGTTTTGTGATTATTGTCTTGAGAATTTACAAACTCGCAAGGGCGATGGATGGTTAGCAGAGGTGATGTATGATCTTTTTCTAGAACTTTAAATTGTTTGTTGGAATTTTGATTTTCTATTGGGATATTTTGTGACATATATAGGTAAGATGATCTAAAGAAGAAAATGGCTTTAGTCTTTAGAGTAAAAAGGGGAGAGAAGTGATTTGGAAATTGAAGAAGGTAACCATTAAAAAATGGATTAAGTCGGTAAGATTGAAATATTTTGTTTGGAAGCTTTAAGTTCACAGTAATAAATCCAAGATTTTTTTTGCATGTCTATTTATAATACATATAAATTCTGTGGATGAATTTATTTTTATGCGTGAAAAGGTTAACTATGAGAAAATTTTAGATGTCTACTAAAATTTTTATTTTCAAATTTTCTTATTTTTAAATATTTACGAGTGTTCAATGAAAGTTTTCCTTCATTATTATTATTATTTTTTAAAATTTTGCGATGCTCATAAATATCCTCAATGAAATAATAGATCTGTTACATTCAAATTTTACTATCAACAGTTCCTCTTTATAAGTGATTTATAAATTTAATGAAAATATTCTTTGAAACATGTTGTTTGTTTTAATCCTGTACTGAAAAGCATTAAAAAATAAAAAGAAGGTAATTTCCCATGGACATATTTTATTTGCCTTTAATCACAAAGATATATATTCAAAATCTATCTGAACATTTTTTTTTCTTGATCATTAGAGTATATGCGTTGACTATAGCGCTAACCAACAAGTTGCCTTTGCTCCTAATTTTTTAAAGCACTATCTTGAGTCGACCAAGTTCTGTGGGCAAGATTTCAAAAACTTAGCTCTTATCCATTCCTATAAAATCCCTATTGTTTCACACTTGAGTGCGGAATTCACCGTAGCAAGAACGCACGCATTGGTGGTTCATAGAACTTGTTAAGGAATTATATGGAGACCTGAGCAAACTATGCATTTCAACCCTGCAAGAGATTATATTGTCCATTTTGATTTAGTTGAAGGCTCTTTCATTTTGTTTGGAAAAGAGCTTTGCAAGTTCAAATATGTACATATATATCATAATTAAAAAGTAACTTTGAAAGACTATAGATGCATATAAATTTTGGTAAAAGAGTTAGAATTAAATGTCACATTAATTGATAAAAATATTATTATTATTATTATTATTATTATTCTAAAGAATATCCCGATAAAAGAAGGAAAAACAAAATCTACCTTTCTTGTCTAATTATAAACATGAGTGTGCACACACATAAATATATATATATATATATATATATATATAAGTATCAATGAACCCATGAAAATGGTCATTATCGATGATTATAGTTTTAGATTTTGATTATAATTTTATTGATACGGTTGACAAAAGTTTGAGTTAAAAAAACTGTATTTAAAAAATGTAATAAGAAAAATATGGTTATAAATTTTAAGTATCAAATATTGCTATAAAAATCCAATGAGCAATTGAAATATTTTAAAAATATATGTATAAAATAATAAAATATTTAAATATATAGTGATTTTTATTCAAAAGTATTTTTTAACCGCAAATACACTTTTTAAGTAACCTTTTAATTTGAGTTGCAAAATTAAGTGTTTAAACTAAAAAGCTATATTTTCTTTTGTTGTTTAGCATTGAGCTTGAATCAAAAGTAGCTTTTGAACTCAAAAGCTATTTTTAACTACAATTTTAAATTAGGTCTTAAAATACTTTCATTAAATAGATTAATTTTATAATAAATAAAAAATGTTAAATTTTATCTTGAATTGCATTATTTTTAGGGACATTTGATTCGTAAATTTTGATATTTCTCTTAAAAATTTAATTTTTTATAATATGATTTTCACGTTTGGTTCACGAAATATAATTTCATGAGGTTTTCAAGATTATTATCAATGTCAAGAATAGGAAAATAGCCCGGAATCAAAAACTGTAATTTCTCTTAGGTTTTGTTTGATTCTTTATGGAATATGAAATTTATTCCACTTTTACCCTTATTAATTAGTATTTAATATTAATTATACCTTTCAATATCATAAAAATTAATCATAAATCAAGACTAATTATGACATAGATAGAGTCATTGAAGCCTCAATATTTGACATCTAAAATTACACATGAGAAAATATCGTTTTGTAAAAATAAAAATTAATTTAATTTATTTTTTAATTGAGTTTTTACAATTAATTTGATTTTTTATAATAAAGATATAATAATAACCAATATTAACGTATGTATCATTGGACTACAAGTGCATGACTGTTCAAAGTAATAAGAAGTGGTGAGTATCATCCCATAGAGACGGAATAAGGGTCGCTTAGATCTAAGTACTGAGTATCAACCTACTCACATTATATTCAACTCAATCGAAGCAAAGAAGAGTAAACTACACTGTACTTACAACAGGAAAAACAAGTAAAAACATAACAGTAAACAACAATAAGAAAGCATAATCAGTAAGCATGAAAATAAGTACGGAAATAAACAACATAATGAGACAAGATAGAAATTGCAAGTAGACTACTCTAAGAATACATCAAAATAACATGCACAAGAATTAAAATCAAGTTAAGTATAATCGGTAAACATATGATAAAAACAGAAAAATGCAAAACTAAGTTCAATATGGAAACCGAACTTCAAAGGACTTGAAATACAAAATGTTATATATAAGATCTACTAACATTGATGTAAAACTTATCTAAGGACAATAAATTAATCTAGATCTAATTTGCAACCAATTTAAATGCATGAAACACC